AGTTAGTATATGGTATAAAAATCATATTATTTTACAAATTAAAGTGAATATAAAAAGATAAAGAAAAAAAAATCCTATCAAAACATTTCCGGTCATTATCAAACCAAGTGTTATAATAAGGAATCGTTTTCAGTGTTAAAAATAGAAGCAATAAAGATAAGTGTAAACTATTTTTCAGAAAAAAGTTATCTATTGTGTCCTATCACTGTGAGATGGTACTTTAAAGTCACCCACCACAAGATATTTTAATAAAAATATTCATGTAAGTGTACCGTCGCTCATGTGTTATTTATTTGAATTGATATTTATTCTTAGATATTTGATGTTTTGGAGCTCCATGGTTGCTCTGTTTCAATTCTGTATTGTTTTATGGACATTTGATCGTGAATACTGTTTGTTACCTCCATATGTTTCATGGTATTTTTTCTTTCAGTCGTCATTTACGCAGTTTAAGACATTTAAACAATTGTTATATGTGTCAGTTTACAATATTGTTGTGGTTTTATGCTACAAAGATTGGGTTACCTTGCTTCGGTTCCCATGCGTATTGCAAATACCATACGAGAAGTTTACAAACAGTTTGAATTAAACTTCCTGGTTAAAAGAGATTTACGTCATAAAAGAACGACGACTGTTACAAGGTACATGTAAATACGTTAATTAATACTCTGATCTTTTAAACACAATGAAATAATATTGATTGCTATTTTCATTTGACTGTACTTTACTGAAGCATATTACTGCCAGTTAAATATTTCTCGCTAAATCGTAGATATCATAATTTTAATAAAAGTTTATAAGTATAAAAGCAAGCTGGAAAAAACAATAAAATTTAATGAATTCAAATCCAAGAATGCATCAACGAAAGTAAAGCCATAAGAATTGGCTTAAAATTTGTAAAAAAAAAAAAAATGTTGACTAATGCAGAGAAATGATGAGAAAATGAGGGAAAACTAGAGGGCTATTCGAGACTTCATTAAAAACTTCATGTGGACTTAGAAACAAACCCAAAACGTTAGACAGAAGGAAAATATACGAAAGATTTGAATTGATTTGAATTTTCTATATAATATCTAATAAAAACTTCACTGCAAACATCAACCCTTCCGTGTTCTGTAGTTTGAGGGTATAGTTTGATAACGTATGTAATAAAGCGGTCATTTAGATATATAATTCATAAAAGTAAATTTTCAGCGGTAAATTCTGTAAAACATTATCCATTTCAGCAACACGATATAAAATGCATATGATAAAAGTTAGAGTCTATGGTCATGAATACCGTGAATTTTTTTGATTAACACATATTTCTTTTATTTCTAGGGAATTCAGCATTATCAAAAGAAATGATCTTAATTTATAGATGCTAAATTGATTTAAAATGTGAAAATAAATTGTAATACAATTAAACAGATACATGAGAATTTTTTAAAAAAAAATTCTTATGATCTCATAAATTACGTTTACCCCCAAATTCCCCCCCCCCCCCTCAAAAAAAAAATGTTAAAAACATTAAAATTCAGCGGTTTAATTTCAATTAGAAGTTGATTAAATGGGAAATGAATGCAGTGCCAAACAATTTTTTTTAAAAATATGTATATTATATTTTATTACATACTTAGTCACAATAGCCGTATCAGCCCTGCAGGGTTGATATGGATTTGCGGGGCTGATATAGATTATCAGCCCTGCAGGGCTGATACGGATCAATATCACAGCCCTAGTAAATTAAACCTCAAAAAACAGTACCTGTGATCATGGGTTACATAATTCTCTTAATTTTAACTTTTTGAATGTAATGATAATCTGACTGATAAATAATAGATTATTTTAAAATTACGGATTGAGGACATATGAAATAGAAGTTCACGTAGAAACAAACCGAAACTGTATGAGACAATAGACTGTGTACAAGAAGTCCGTGCATGATTGTTTACTTATTTTTTTCTCAACTTAATGTGTTCTGTATTTTATTACTGAGTATGACTGTATTAAATATAATAAAACATACCCTTTTCCACATCACATCTTATATCAGCCCTCGGGCCTTCGGCCCTCTGGCTGATATTGGTGTCTCGGGCTGACACATGATGTGATATGGAAAAGGGTATGTGTCATTCTCTATATAACCTGTTTCTCACAATTTCTAAGGAAACACTCCCCTCCACAATATACAGTACTTCTGAGCTGTAGTAAGTCCAAACTTACCTTTATGATACATTATCCTTATTAGTTTATGAATGGTAAGGGAAATGTGTAGCATCTTAATTAAGGTCCATTGTGACCTTTATCTGAGATGAAGTTCTAAAAAACTACAATTCTAAGCTATACAATTTCAAAAGTTTTCAGTGTAGAATATATTGTAGAAATTCAATTAAAAAAAAAGCTTAAAAATGTACTTGTAAAAAAGAAGGCAATCTAATGATAAAATTAAGAAAAAATAATGTTAGAACATTTGCAGTCATTACAAAAAAATTTGCTTGATAATACATAATACACAAATTGCCAATCTGAGCATGAAAATAATAATAAAATATTTGAGGAGTAAATTGATGTGCTTTATCACTTTTAGATGGTATTATAAAATCTGATTTGGCCACCTCTTCATTTCTATTTATTTATTTATAAACCTTTACACTGGTAACGGTAACAGCTTTTTTTTTTAAATAATAATAAAATTTACATACGTAGTAGAGAATTTTTTTTTTATCTTTATAACTTATTCCTCGGTATTTAATTTCGTCCAACACACCTTTAAATCGATCCAACACACCTTTAAATCGATCCAAGTTTACAAAGTTTTTTGCTTCTGCACTACAATGTTAGAGTTTCCTTGCTTCGATGCCCATGCATAATGCAAATTTCATACAGGATGTGTAGAGTCGTTCCTGGTCAGAACAAATTTACGTCGTGATAGAACGAAAACGAAGACAGATTCAAGATAAGTACGTTAATCAATACTAACGTTATACTTTTAGACAAACATAACATTATATTGATTGTTATTTTGATTTGGGCTGTATTTTAGTACTTTACGGAAGCGTATTGTTATCAGTTAAATGTATTTTGAAATTTTTAAGCGTACACGATACATTTTAGATTCTAAGTCGTACAAAAGAGATATTAAGTCGTACAATCGTGAAACTAAGTTGTTCATACATGATGATAAGTCAGCTAATGAGAAAATTTGACGCACGTACGAAATACTGATTTTCATGCACGACATAGAATGTTTATTCTACGTCTAAAACTTCCGGGATTCTTTATTTTCGATTTGTTTACAGAATCATTCTGTATTATGTTTTTCTCTAACATGTCTAAGTTCAATCAATGTTGGTTACCCTCTGTACAGTGATGTATTACGAGATAATAAGTTGTACAAACTACAAACACGTACAAAGTCGTTTATATGAAGTAATAATTCAATATAAGTTGATGATTATATTATTATTTCTACATTTAACGAAATAATAAGTCGAACGTAAGACATACTTCGTAATAACGAGAAAACAAGTCATACAAATAACATATTACCTTCATGTCATCACTCACAATAATAAAACCCATCGCTCACAGTAATATAAGAAATAATTTTCTTTTTCTTTTGTTTAATAGGGCGTCTGGCTTTCTGTATGTCTGTCCGTAAGCTTTCTCATGTCCGACATTGAAGTCTAGAATTAGTACGCAGTGTCAGATGACACATCTTGGGTAAGTGTGTTCAAAGAAGGTGACTGTGAATTTTGTTTGAGAAAGAGGATATTGCCAAATATGTAAACATAACATGCCTGCTTCTTACTTGAAAACTGTGAAATTATTAAACTTACATCATTCAACTTAGTTAATTTATGTATCGCAGGAAGAAAATGAGTTGCATCTAACTCAGAGCATAGGCGTCGGAAGCAAATTGAAAGGGGGGGGGGGCTATACCACCAAAAAAGGTAAACCCCCATTTTAAATACCTTTACCATGTCTATCTTTGCCAAAAAAGTGGGGGAGGGCTTAGCCCCCTCCCGGTTCCGACGCCTACGCAGAGGTCAATATATGTCAGTTAAGGTCAGTCCGACACGTTCCTCAAAAATATATAATATTTCGTAAGAATTCGTCATTAAAGTAGAGGTACCAAATTAAGTTTTCTCACAAAAAATTAGGGTACCTTACCAGGCATTTGGACAAGATACTGCATGGTCATATTTCTTATATAACCCTTATGGGTAATCTTCCAAATGGCCTATATCACAATTTTTGGTGTACTTATATTAAAAACATTTTGAAAACAATGTAGAAATCAGAAGAGAATGAAAAATATGAATATTTTTTTATATAATACCAAGAGATACGAAACATATATTTGAGGAACGTGTCGTCTGATCTTAATTAAGGTGAAAGTAAGGGATATATTTTTGAAGTACAGAACAATGTTTATTCAAGAATTTTCATATTATTGTTTATAAAACATACAGAATCTATGTCAAATATAAATAATTTCTAATAGGTCAATTACTAGAGATGTTCTACTTGTCTCATGGGTGTAACTACCAAGCACTCATTTAGAAAAGGTATTTTGGTTTGGTAATAAGAGATTACACTATACATGTAATTAATGGGTTAATAATAATTATTAATTAATGAAAATTATTACATTTCTTGCAGAGCATCGCTGATCAAGCAGTTTTTTCAAGTTTCTTCAAGCCAAATGCCCATCAGGGTAATTATACATGATGATTGTAATAAGAAAAAAATCATACAGAGAGAGTGAGAGAGAGAGAGAGAGAGAGAGAGAGAGAAAGAGAGAGAGAGAGAGAGAGAGAACATAAAATTACATAAATTGTACAATAAAATAATCTTATACATATGTGCATCGATTTTATTTATTCTAAGCATTGTATCTTTTTTTTATCTGTTTGGTACTGGAAAGACTTATATGGCCGATTAATTGCAAATGATTTGATCTTTCAAATACATAAACTCCTGATTTTGCAGGTTCGAATCCTATTGTGTGAGGTAAATGTAGAGACCGGTCCTTTGGATGGGACCGTATAAACCGAGGTAAGCCCCGTCTTGCAGTAGATTGTATAAACAGAAAATAAATGTAACACAAAAACATTAATGATAACAAATGGTTGTTTAAACAATAGATAATGAAATTTTTATTATCATCGGATATATACTAGTAATACATTTCACCACTTGCCCATTTTTCAATATGAAGAAAAAAATCCATTTCCGATTCAAACCGTAGATTTAGGCATTTGCTTTACTGTGATAATCGTGATATAAAATTTGATATAAAATTTGTTCACATACGCAACTGAATGCATATTGTAACCGAACTATTTTCAATAGGGTGCGTTTTTCGAAATGTTGAAATTGTTGAAAACAGTACGACATTTATCGCCGGATACGACACAGTCCAGACTTTTTACTACCATTTCTCATTGTGATATCAAAATATTTTTAGGGCACTTGGTATGATTTCTTAGCAGTATCCCAGGGTCTTGCATTGAGCTCAAAATCATCTCAACTTCTTGAAGATATGGAGTCCTTAAACTCAGAACCCCATGGTAGAATGGTGAGATTTTCTATCCCACCAACTATCCCACCATTCTCCCATGGGAGAAAAAATGTCAGATGGGATATTTTCTCCCACAAATTAGTTCAAATAGGATAAATCCACGAATATTAACAATCAGACAATTTCTCCCAAACACTGCGAAACATAAAATATATCCCATACAGTATGACAAAGACAAACTTCTCATCATAATATATAGAAAATATACCAACTATAACAATGTATTGGAGAAAATAATTCATTGTCAATATTGGATTTATCCCATTTGAACAAATTTGTGAAGAAAAAAAATCTCCTAGGAGAAAATTTCCCATCTGACATATTTTTCTCCCATGGGAGAAATGTGGAATAGTTGGTGGGACTGAAAATCCAACCATTCTCCCATGGGAATCTGAGTTTTAGGACTTCATATCTTCAGAAGTGAAAATGTTTGTTAGTTCAACTTGAGACCCTGGAATACTGATAAGAAATCCCGCCATGTGATGTAAAAAAAATTTGGATATCATAATTAGAAATGGTAGTAAAAAGTCTGAACTATGTCGTGTCCAGAGTTAAATGTCGTACTGTTCGAGGAGTTTCTTGTTTCATATTTTCTTCATCAATGTTATGTTAGTGGTTATATTCTGTTTAGATTTTTAGCAAATTAATAGTAAAGTGAATTGGAAATTTAAGAATTAATATGCGTGAAGTTGCTTGACAATGTGCATGTATCAGTGTTTCTACTACTAGTTGGCGATAAAAGTACTGTTTGTTTAAAACTGACAGAATGTCTATAAAATACACATGTGCATTATTTTAACCATTCCAAGACTGATTTTTCAAATTGAGAAAAAATGCTTATTGAATAGAAAATATGTGAGAATTTCTTTGAAATATTATTTATTAGATATTAAAATCATAACATATAATGTTGTATGGACTGCTATTTTTATTACTGGTATATGGGATATTGTTTTAAATCATAATCATACAAACTATATCTATTTAAAATTAATTGCCAAAAGGAAAGCAAAATAAAATATACATGTACTATTTTCGGATCAGAAATTATACTCAAGCAATTAAAGCCCTGCTTTCAGTTCTTTTAATGCTTTGATTTATGCATGCACATACTCAGTGTTTACATTGTGTAACTTCCAATGCCATTGTTTTAATTGTTATTAGTTGTTTCCTCAGAATTAGCGGTTGAATTCCGCTTTAGGTTCTCTTTTTACAGCCGAAGATCAAATAATAATACTTTACCACTACTTCAAAGGTTCCAAGGAATATCAGAAGCGAATGACAGTGTCAAACTATAGAACATACATTTTCTCTTTTGATATTTGTCTTAATATATTAGAACAAATACAAAAGGTTTTCAAAAAGTTTGTGGACTGAGGCTACAAAATTAGTAGTCTGTGCTTTAGAAATTTATATGGAACATAAAACAACACAAAATAAAGAAATTTTGAAAATTTAAGCTTTATACGTTCATACGTTCATTATTTGCAAAATTATTATAAAATTAAAACGACATTATATGATTACCCGGCGCCGTCCCCGTTTAGCTTCAAGACGTCCGACAACGTCATTGTTTTTCAATGTCCGCGTCTTCTACCTTATGCACTTATTTTGATGAGGTTCCCTGGAGCTGAGTATTAGGTCTTAAACCCGTCTTGTTATATGAATTTACCATGTCATGAACAGCGGCGCGGCTTTCAATGCATATAATATTGCAAATGGATTAAGAGATCCTCGGTAGATTGATCCAGCATATTTTGCTTTTTGGAGTATAATACATGTAGCTACAACAAAACATCAACGCCATTTTTTGACGTGATTGATTTTTCACACCTTTACTTCAACTCGACATTAACTTTGGATCCCTCTTCTTCTGTTTGAATAGGTTTTGGCATTAAAAAACAAGTACTCTGAATGCATATTATTTCTCTATACCATTTTTTTTCAGGGGCAAAACTTCATAGAATGTTGGAAAATTAAAATCCTCCCCCTTTTTGACGTCATTTTCAAGCCTTAGTTGTTTGGACACTCCTTGTCAAATTCGTGATAAAATTCCATAGAACTTCCAGAACGGGACAAAAATTTTATATTTTATTGAACAATAGTGCCCCAACACATACCTAAATTAACGCGATTTTTAGATGTCACATGTACATATCAAACGAGTTTTTTCTCAGTTGCACTTAGATCGAAAAAAAAGTCGTGTTCGAGGTTGCACCGCCTGGACATATCACTGCTTCCAAAAACATTCCTTATTTATTAAAGAATAAAATTTATGACTTGTGGTTTTTTTGTATAGATAGGAAAGATGATGCTTAATGGATATTTTAAAATTCATTGATGTATCTAAAGCGGTTTTAATATTATGGCGCTAGTCTACGAACTTTTTGAGACGTACCCCCTCTTACATGTATATAATTATTTGGTCTTAATTCTATGTTATTTTTAACATAATCATTTTTCGTAATACGAGGGTCATTCAAAAAATACGTAGACAATGCTTCTCATCGTCATATAATTATTACAAGATTATAGATAAACACATTTTCGTAAACATAAACATTTATTTTGTCGAAGTGTTAAGTTTCATTCCATTTGATTAAATAGAACTCATGTTAGCCAAAATTTAAACCAACATGTTTTGTTAACACGGAGCTCGGTTAACCAACATTGTAACGTCAAAGACAACGTTGAGAAAGTTTGTCAAAATTACACTAATTTTCTTAATTTCAAACACGGTTTGTAGCGTCTTCTCCATTCAAAAACATATTCATAACACTTAACACCTAGTTTGCGAACAATTGTACAAATATAGCTTGAATAAGAATGTCATTGTTTTCAAATTCTTTAATTAACCATGTAACTCTATTAATTCTGCAACCGTGCAGCACACATCACGTTCAATGACGTTCCCAACTCTTTCGACAATATTTTTAATTTAACTTGTTTCTTTGCAGACAATCCATCGTCCGATTCAAACTCGCTACCACTCAAAAAATTGTATTTTCCATTTAATACAAATACACAGATTATTTTTTCATACAGATCCTGGTTTATACGGATTTTTTAAGCTTGTAGAAGAAGTTCTAGAATGTAGAGTACAATTTTATTGCTACTTGCTGCTCCGTGACGTCCTCCAAAGTCATGGTTTTTTGCTTTTTTTAATCAAGTCCATATGTATTTAGAAACTGATATCTTTTAAATGGAGCGAAATGTTACATAACCTGATTTCATTTTAATTAATACAGCAATACTTTATTTAAGCATGTAAATTTTATTTCGTTTCAGCTTGATTTATTAGAAGTATGGCTGTAAATACTATAAAGTGAAAATTAGTAAATTACTCAATTTTGACGGTGCTCCGTGACCCCATTTTTGCTGATCTAAATCCCTGGTAATTTTAACAAATATGAAGATACATTCCATTTTTTTTACTCAAATTATTTAAATCTGTTGTTAAAATATTTGTACCAAATTTGGATATAATATGACGTTAAATAAAAAAGTTAAAACAAAAGTCTACGAACTTTTTGAATGACCCTCGTAGACCCTTACCGACCCATTTAAAGATAAAATTTATTTTCAAAGCATTTTTGTTAAGTGTGTCTTTTGCATTAAAAAATCCATCATGAACAAAATAATAAAAAATTGTAATTTTTAATATTCAAGAAAAATAATATTTAATTTTTAATCTTTTTTTCAGATCTATGGGATCAAAGTGTTGCCGACATGGTCATCCCACTGATATTAACCTAGAAACTTTATGGGAAGCAAATTTAGAAAATCTATATATAAAGACACCCTCTCTGCTTTCATTTGTGAACGAATCGGACGATATGATGAAGGACGTCTTTTTAGGAGACGAGAATAGGTGTTTTATTTGTCTTGAAAATTACAATGATCAACAAAATCAACCAATTATAATGCCCTGTGGTCACATCGTGTGCAACAAGTGCCTCATTCAGTTAGCAAAGACATTCCAATACGAAGAACTAAAATGTCCACTAGATAATAAAATACATAAGGTTAAACGAAGCAAGAGAGGAGGTATATAAATACTGTACTTTTGAAAAAGGTCTTTAAAGAGAATTTTATGCATATTTGCACCAAATGTTTCTTATGAACAGCTATTGAAATGTGTATTTTTCCATCTCTAGGACACCAAGACCAAGCCAGTATCCTTTCTCAAGGAAGTTCAGTGGTACGAGAAGCAATTCCGGTTGAAGAAGTGGATATCCTTTCTCAAAGAAGTTCAGCGGTACGAGAAGCTATTCTGGTTGAAGAAGTGCCCAATTTCATGTCTGTTGGTTCATCTTCAAGCTTTAACGGAGAAGACGTGCCCCCTTCTAGACAAAACGTGACAGATGAAAGAAAGATATCTGTCACTCATGTGCCTCAGACTCAGCATGTGACAGCTGACGTCCACGATGACAATGGTTTATATGTTAATTCTATGAATCAATTATTTCCTAATATTCCTTTATCAACCTCGAGAGTTTTTGGTCGTGATGCTGCTAAGAATCAACACAGCAGAAATAGCTTTTCCATGTCAGGAATCCCAAAACATTCTTCACCCGGAAATATTCGTGTAAATATAAGCAATCAGAATCATGCAATTAATGTTTTAAATTCCTCTATGTGTTATAATGATGATTGGATACTAGAGCCTAAGCCAGACTATCCTAGTGATTCAAGTGAGGATGAAGATATGTCCCAGAGGTGATAGAGTAGAATTAACGTTTTTTCTACATCCTTAAGGACAGATGATACAAACATTTTCTTTCTTTAGAGGAGATATATATCATGTCAAAGGGTTAAAAAAGTGGATAATTCTTAAAAATTTTTCTCTTCAGAACTGGAAAACTGGAAAATGAGATAGACTTGGAAAATATTAGTAATATTTCAATAAAATTACAAATATGGACAAAACACACTCAGTAAAGGTTTACAGTTGAAAACATATTTCAGAATATGTAAGCTTGGTGCTAAGCGTGTAATATAAACTTTAGAAAAATATTTCAAGGCAGATCCTTTTATTAGGAAAAAAAAGGGAAAAATAAGCCTGTGTGATATTGCTGATTTTTTGTCATTTTGTTTTTCCTCCAAAGAAAAGAAAAAAAATTGTTTGATTCATCTGTCCTAAGAGGCAAAAGGTTAGTATAGACGTACCCACGTAAGCGAAAAAACGCATGTGAAGTATAAATTTTATACCAAAAGTATTTCTTTTAGAAAGGTATTCACGACATGAAATATCCCGTATATTTTATAACTTGATGTTATGACATCATTACATATTACATGCATCAAACAAGATAAGAAGACAGTTTGTTGTAAGTATTGCCCCTATTTTATTTCACATAAGTATTGTATCTCGCTATAAAAAAGTTTTTGTTATTGTAAATGAATTTCTGAAGAAGTCATACATTTTTTCATTAGATCGAATTTGGTAAAACTTAATCGTATTGTATACTTTCCTTATTTTTACTGAAAACAAATTATAGAAATTAATAAACAATTGAATTGTCGATGCTTGTTCAGTCTTACAATCACTAATTGAAATTTTATATCCCTGTTCTGTAAAATTTAATAGTAGTTGGTAGTAACACTTCCTCCTTACAAAATATTACACCATTGATGAATAATTTTCTGTCTTTGACTAAAAATCTTCTGGCCTCTTTACCATCACAAAGGATAACGCCCCTACTCTATCAGTATGTGTATATGAGTTTCAACCTGTTGGTTTGAGTTTAAGGACAAATGCACAAATAGGTATTTAGTTGTCTGTTGACATACGGCACTGGACAAGAAGACAAAATTATAATGTTCCTTCAAAGCCAATAAACTTTTAAATGAAAATTTTAAATTTATAATGTTAGAATCGTTACGTAGTTCTAAAGAGATTACACCTCAACGATTTTTTCCGTTATTTACCTATCATGACAAGGAGCACACGGCGGGTTTAACCGGTTGGCAGGGAATGCTCACTCCACCATGGTACCTTATCCAACATCTAATGTTTTTGAGGTCCGTGTTTGCTAAAGACGTAGGGGTAGGGAGCCGTACGGTTGAACAAAATCATCCAAGCATTAAATTAAACGTATGGAGATAATTATAACGAACAATATTCAAGGAAAAACAATTTCTGAAAATATACATATAGAAAACACGATGTGTTTGTGAAACACTATGCGCCCGGCGGCAACAAAGTTAAAAAGCATATTTTTTAGCATATAGGACTCAGTCAAGGTCACAAGGTCGTTGATCTTGGTGTCATTTAAAAGAACTTAATTAGTGGAGTATGCATACCAAATATGAAGTCTCCATCTTTCATTGGTCAAAAAGTTATGGTGAATGTTAAAAAAAACTATTTTTAGCATATAGGACTCAGTCAAGGTCACAAGGTCATTGATCTTGGTGTCACTTGAAAGAGTTTAATTAGTGAAGTATGCATATCAAATATAAAGTCTCTATCTTTCATTGTTCAAAAGTTATGGTGAATGTTAAAAAAACTATTTTTAGCATAAAGGTCACAGTAAAGGTCACAAGGTCATTGACCTTGATGTCATTTGAAAGAGCTTAATTAGTGGAGTATGCATACCAAATATTAAGTCTCTATCTTTTATGGTTCAGAAGTTATAGCAAAGGTTAAATTTTGCAGAAAAAAAACTATTTTTAGCATATAGGTCACAGTCAAGGGCACAAGGTCATTGACCTTGGTGTTCTTTGTAAGAGCTTACTTGGTGGAGTATGCATACCAAATATGAAGTCTCAATCATAAACGGTTGAAAAGTTATAGCGAAGGTTAAAGTTTGCAGACAAACAGACAAACAGATAAACAGACAAACAGAGAGACAGACAGGACAAAAACAATATACGCCTCGGATCTTTCGATGCGGGCGCATAATAAAGTGGAATTTAAATATATGCAGACTGCTTCGTTGAACAGCAAATAAAAAAAAATTGGGGTTAAAAAGCAACAGGAAAAGATTGTACCTCTGTTAAAACACTTGAACTTTAAAACTCAACCGTAGCAAGACCTATCACCATGCTTATTAATAAATTATTTGAACAAAGTGAATTTCCTGAAAAAAAAAAACTTTTAGAGACACAGGTTGTACCACTACATAAGAAAAATAGTCGGTTAAAAGTAGGTAACAATAGATTTGTCAGCATTCTACCAACAATTTCAAAGACTTTCGAGAGGGCAATATACAGGTATACAAGCATGCAAGTTGTTGAATGTCTTTGAATACATAGTCCATCCCTATATATCAGCATTTAGTCCAGATTATGCATGTGATACTGTTTTGATGAAAATCATCGCCATTGGTGATAACAAGTATACTGCTGCTGTTTTATAGATCTCCTAAAGGCCTTTGCTTACCACATGACCTGCTGCTATTGAAAATTAAAATTTATGGCACCTCAGATTCTGCTCTATCACTTGTTCAAAGTTTATAGGAGATGATGTGAAAGAGTAGGGAATATTTAAGTACATTTAAACACAGGGCAACTTAATGTATTAATTAAAACGCATAGGTTACATGTAATCAAACAGGGCAAACTGACCATCGATAATTCTTTTATTATGAGTAATTTTAATTACTGTCCTGTTGTTTGACATTCTTGGGAAAAAATAACAAAAGAAAAATGGAAAAATTAAAAAAAAGGGCTCTGACAGCTTTCTTTATTGTTATCAAAGCAGTGCACATGAGGAATTTTTACTTAGTCAGGTTTACCAACTTTAAAAATCAAAAGAATACGAACAATGGATTCAGAAGTTTCTAAAAAATAAATAAATAAATAAAAATACTGTTTATTTGTCTGATCTATTCACTTTTAAAGAAACCCAATATCATCTCAGGAAATGTTATACACTACAGGTACCTAGGGTAAAACTGCTAAACATGGGCTACACTCTTTTAGATATGCAGGAGACATACTTTGGGATGAACCCCCCAGAATATATCAGAAGAAGGATATGGAAATAACGAACAGTATTCAATCTCAACGTCCATTAAACAATATACAAAATAAGAGCAGAGCAAACACAGACCTCCGAAACATCAGAGGTGGGATCAGGTGCCATGGAGGAGTGAGCATCCCCTGCCGACCGGTCACACCCGCCGTGTGCTCGTTGTCATAATCAGGAAATAACGGAAAAAATCCGTCGTCAATTCAGTGTATAAATAATGGACTAACAATTGGTATGAAAAACGTCAGTCAGCATTTCATTCAATGATAAATTGTATTTGCTGACAAGGTCATTGTATCGACCATAGAATTTACGAAATGGTGACTTTAAACGAGACTGTTGATATTCTTGTTTCATCAACTTGCTTGTCAATAATTTACCTCGTTTAAGAAATGGTTCATACGTAGAGCATGCTCTTGCGTATCGAATCAATTGAGATATATTTACTCCGTATGCAGGTGATGAAGGTATATTGCTGCATAAGTAAGGGAAGTTGACGATAGAAAATTTAAAGTCATCACGTTTATCATATAGCTTGGCTGTTAGATTACCATTAGTGTCTTTTTCAAGTAAAATATCCAAGTATGAAGCAGAAGTGTCGGACTCTGTGGTATCTTTTATCTCAAGCTCACCAGGATATATCGTGTCGACGTAGGAATGGAAATTATCATTATTAATTGACAATACGTCGTCGATATATCTAAATGTCGAGTTGAAGGCCAGAGCAAGTGTTTTCTTCTTTTCACGCATAAGATTTTGCATAAATTCTGCTTCATATGAATATAAAAATAAGTCTGCTAATAACGGAGCGCAATTTGTACCCATGGGAATTCCAATAGATTGTTGGAATACCTGGTCTTCAAAAACCACATAGATATTGTCAATCAGAAACTCAAGCATCTTCTTGATGTCAACTTCAGAGTACTTATGTGTGCAATCAGAATATGTTTTAACAAAATAATTTTTCAGATGACCAATGACGAGGTAAGTAAATTTACGAGTTCCATTTTTGTTGAAGAAGCAGCTGTCAATGATATCAAAAAGCCTGGATTTTAATTTGTATCTTTAATGAATCAGTTTAAAAGTCTTATTAACAATAGGAAATTAAAGAAGAATCCTGTAAGTTTGGCTCTTGCAGATCTTAATCTTTAGTTTTGTTTTTATTCAATTTCTTTTTAGTTTTCAATAATTTTTCCTGTTTTAAGTTCAGTTTGCTCATTGACGTTTCAATAGCGAGTAAACCTGCCATAAATTTATAATATTACAAAGTATACCTTTTATTCAGCAAAATTGCTATATTTCATTTTGTAAAATTATAAATCGTAGACCATCTTTTTTAGAGTTTAAGTGCTATTTTGACGTTCATTTTTATTTATTCGTATGTTTAGTCATATTTATATGCATGATATATGTGCTGTTTTGTGTTGTGTGTGAGGGTGTGATTGAGGGAGAGGGTGTGTGCGTTTAAATTATGTATGTTGTGATACATGACATTGTAATTTTAACTGTGTTAAATGTTGATATTGTCATTTATGTATTGTACGTATGTCTTACTAATAATGTCGGTCAAAAGCTCTACATTGCTTATGTTACATGTACTTGTTTTAAAAATACCGACTCTAAATAAAATTTTATGATTCTGAAAGAAAGAAATCCTACTGCCAAAATTCAATAGATTTGATTGATAACTATTTAAAAAAATGCAGTGATTTAAGCATAAAAATCTTTTTAGGTTACAGCAAAATGTTTACAACTTGTAGTTTAATAGATAGGTGCATACAAAACGATCGTTCTTTTTAGTGGATGTGCGATATTTGTCGTACACCATACAAAATTGAAAAAAAGAATGCTTTTGAATTGGTCTATTTGAAGCTCATTTCAA